CTTCTTCTGATTCTAAGATTTCAACTATTGTTACACAAGTATCATATTTTATATTTCATAGGATTTGAACATGCAAGTTATATTCTGAGTTGGCATACCAATATCAATCCTGTACATAATAATTAAATACAAAATTAAAAATGTAAGAGCCAATTAAAAATATTATAGACATGAATTAAAAGTTCAAACCTCAAACTTATAATTTAACCAAATTACTACAATAATTTCCCAAATTCTCTATTTTTTTATTACATTTTGTGAAGGTTTCAGTTAGGCTAAATAAATAAAAATCCCTAAACTTTGTCATTTATTTAAAAAATAACCCTATCCTTTAAAAAAAATTCAATATTATCCTTAATCTTTCATAAATGTTTTAAAAATTTCATTTAAGCAAACAACCGTTAATATTTAACTCCAAGTGTTTATCCAATTTTGCCCTGATCCCCCTTTTAAAAATCGATAGCTTTTCTCCATCTCTTCTCTTTCCAATCAATCCATTTCTTCTCTTTTCAATCCACGCAAGCTTTCACAATCGCCACATAATTCCAAATTCTACAACATCAAATTTTCGTAAAGGGTAGTATTAAAATTTTTTGAAGGGATTAGGATATTGATAAAGTTCAGAGATATTTTTTTGTTTTGTTGTAATTTAGCCTTTACTTTATAAATGTTTCCTCTGCTGAACTTTAAATAAAAATAGGTTACCGTAAAGCATCACATCTCGGCATGTAGTAAACCTATCCCAATTAATGGTGTTGCCTAATCAGAATGTAAAAGGCATAATTGAAATTTTGAGACTAAAACTTGGGATATAAAATTCACATACCAAAAAGCATATAAATTCATTGCTTGTTCAGTATGAGTCTGACATCGCCATTAAAATTACATAAAGGAAACGAAGAGCAAATGCATTGCAGGCCGACACGCGGGTTGAGAGAAGTCCTTGAATTGAAGGGCCTCTCTTTTGTGAGGCAGCGACGGCATACCCCAATTTAGTGCTGTATGTGAACAGTAAAAGCCATTCAAAACTTACATTTAAAAGGCAACGAGAAGTAATTACAGGTGCAGAAAAGTAGTCACATTTATAGTAGCATAATCAGATTGAATCATCTACTAATCATTTGGATTATAGACAAATTTATAAATTAAACATTTGAGTCATACTCAAAATGTCTCTTAATCCAGCCAAACTGACCAATATCTAAGACATTTCGGACTAATTTAAATAAAGCCAGCCGAGAAGAGGAGTTGGATGTGCTTTGCTTACCCGGAAATTATGGAAGCCCCTCTCAAATTTACTGCTTCACAAGGTTTGTGGCCAAATAAGACAGACGAATAAAAGAATCGATTTCTGAAAACAACAGGCAGCCCTCCTCATCAAATCTGCTACTGCTTCAATTGATGTCAACTCCTTTTAAGCTTGCCATGTATGTCAGATAAATGGTCCATATATATGCAAACGAACTGTTTGTCAATGGCTGCAAAATCAATGTCCCAAAATTGAATAAGAGTTTTAGCAGTGTAGTTGCAAAATGAGTGATATCAAACTAAGATTAAGAAGATTGTGGGGTCCCATATCTGATATGGGATTCTCCTCTTACGTTTGTATGTGATGAGAACATACCTGTAGATGAACGGGAACGAATTTGTAGGTGAGAAAATCGCAGACTGGCCAGAACAAGAGTCCATTCATCAATGTTGGAAGCAAATCGCGCTTCAATCTAGCAGCAATCTCACTGCCACTTTCACCTGAATTTGGAAATAATGGATTCAGAATTGTATCTCAAGACCAACTAAGGTGCACCATATTAGAATATAACATTATAAATAATACCGTTGATGGATAATGAGAACCATATGGGTCATAAGAAACAAGTCATAAACCAGCCACTGAAAGTACTTTGAGAGAATTGAGGTCGGCTTTAAGGAAGGTAACAGATACTTGTTTGTATAAGCCATTATTCTATATACCGACTGCAACTATAGGAGGCTATGGATTTTCAGCATAAAAGACCCAGAACTAGCAGATAATTAGAACTCACTTAATCCATGTTTCATAAACGTTCCCCATAAGGGGTGCAAGCATTTGAAGAAACTAAAATAAGAGACCAAACATGTTTGGTTTCAGTCGGTTTAAGCAACACACAGGTCGGTCAGATTGCTTTCATAACATTCAAGACTAAAAATTAGTTCGGCAATTCATTTTGATTGGTTTTACCAGTTCCATTTTCCTAGAAGTTGGTTGAACTGCTAGTTTTCAGTTTTTCTTCAACGAATAGTCTGCTCAACGTTGGACCTATTGGTTCAATGATTCAATCTGATGCTAAAGAGACCTATTGATCCAAGAAAAACTGAAAACTAGCACACAAACTAGCTTCTACGACAATGGAATGAAACCGAGTCGAGCCAATCCACTCATCCCATAATTCTCCAAAGGGGTCCATAAAATTATAGAACTCCATCATCATGAGCTTGATAAAACCAGGTGCAAGTCTTAGAAGACCTCCAACCACAGCAAAAAAAAGGTAACGAATGCTTGAGCTGAGCCTACAGCCAGAGGGTCTTCAGCACTACCAACTAAAATCAACAAGGAGCACACTAATTTCAGCACTAAAGACCCGAGGCCCGGAATTAGCAGAGAGTTAAAAACCTATCTTAATCCACGCTTCAAAGAAGTGCACAAAAAGGGATCCAAAAATCTTATAGAACGCTCCATCAAATAATCTTGCAATGAAGTTAACGAAGCAAGGGTTGGTGGTCATCAAACCCCGCCAGCTATGGCAAGACATGAAAGATTATCTAAGGTTCTACAACTTCCACTTTTTGATTACCTTGCAAAGATGCATTATATTTATAGGAGAAGAAAATAGAGGTAATAGTAGGTCATCAAACCCCGCCAACTATGGCAAGACATGAAAGATTATCTAAGGTTCTACAACTTCCATTTTTTGATTACCTTGCAAAGATGCATTATAGGAGAAGAAAATAGAGGTAATAGTAGGTCCATACACAGCCTGCCCCAGAAAAATCTTCTTGAAAGTTGACAACATATCTCGCTTTGGTGAGATCGTAGACATAACATTAAACCACAAATGCTGGGAAGGGCCCAATATCAACAAACCGTATGCAGCCATTCGTGTTGTCCTTATCAAGTCAAAAGAACCAGGAGATGGCAATGTAATCATCTGACAAATTTTGTGTAAATCAAGCAATCAGGAGACTAAATTAACCAGAACAAGAGGGTATATTAAAGGTAAATTCTAAAGGGTATTGCTACCTCAATGATGGATGTAATAGAAAACTGATGAAAGTTGAACGGTAAACCAATTTTCTCAGTGGCCATGAAAAATACAAAGAACAAGAGATTAAGAAAATACAAAAATGGCCCAAATGAGACGTATAGATTCTTATGCCATCCTTTCAGAGGGGCAAGTTTACATTCTGACATTTTTTTAAATAAATTTTTATTTGTACATAATTTACATCTGCAGCAACCACAAAGCAAAGTTACAGATCCTAAATTTTCAACACAAATGAAAAATCATCACCAAAATGAATGAGCTGCACACATGAGGCCATGAGAGACAATGAAATCCGCCCATTTCGGTAAAATCTAAAGTATGCATATCATAAAGCTAACCATAAACTGTTTAAATGACATTTTGTAGAAATAATGTGTCAAAGTACAACCAACAAAAAAAATTGAGGCTTGTATACAACTTAAGCTGCTCGAAAGTGTTATATGCATCAATAAAATGAAGCCACTCAAGATTTCAAGCACAAAGAAAGTAACGACCGAACACCATTGCCGAGCTCATTTTTGCTCAAGTTTGGCTCCTACGTTTAAACTCACACTTTAAGATGCATCTATACAATTAATAAACAAATAATGCCTCCGAAGGTGCAGAGAATAGGTCTATGCACTTTATTCCCAGTCCATTTCAAACAATGAGCCATTAGAGAACAAATTGCAGCACTCTACTATCTCAATTCTTCACTACTATTCAGAGGGACTTTACATAATAACATACTCTTTATCATCCAGGCGAGAGGCAGCATCTCCTCATATTATTTACGGATGCTCGATCTCGTTAATTCATGGCATGCAATTAACGAACTCTTCGATGGATGAGATGAGAATAATTTCGAAAGAAGGCGGAAATGAATTGCAAACAAACATGAAAACCATCATCTACCTGAGAGGTTAAGTCAGCAGCCGCATAGATGAGCGAAGAAGTGATACTCTTAGTGATGAATGGATGGGTGTCGAGTTTCCTCAAGTACCATCCGACGAATCCAGTTCGTGGTTTCGACAAAGAAGACGAGGAAGAGAATGGATGGGAAGTAGATGGCGAGTTAGATGGGCAAGAGATTTTGTTTCCTCTTATTCTGAAACACGTTGAAGAAGGGCTGAAACTGAAATACGCCCTCCATTGAATCTTAGAAGATACAGAAGCGTTGGTGTTTAYATTGATATGGGCAACGATGAACCGCGGGTCGGCCGGCCGCAGAAGCCAGCCACAACGTCGATACAAGCTATTCATCGAATTACACGAGCTCTTGCGATTCCTTCTTCTTGCTGGGTGAAATCAGGAGCTTCGGCTCAAACTCCAGAGAGCGAAAACGAACTCTCGTAAGCCAACAACGAGATATTCACGCCTGTGAATTGGAAGCGAAAGCGGTATATTCGCGGGGCAGGCCTACTTCGGCCATGGATGTTGGTCTGAAACTCACGAGGTTTACTTGAAAAGGGGCCTGGGCCGAAATAATTTATTGGGCTCGCAGCCCACAACGGATCTAGTTTGAGGCTAGCCCAATTGCCCTTTCCCTTTCTATTTTGAGGCCCATAACTTCAGATGAAGCATCATCGATGTTGTCTGAAATTATGGTAAAATGTAATTTATGAAATGGTGCTTCTAAGTCTATTTTCTGGAATTGTAGTGGATAAATTTTAATAATGTTTGTAATATGAGCTAAGTTTAATTGTGGGATCTCGGTAAAAAAAAAAGAGGTTTGGTTGTGGGATCTATGAAAAAATGAAAAAATAAATAAAATAGTTGGATCACTCAAATAAAAGAATGTCAGTCTCATCTAAAGGAGCGAATCAATGAGAATGATTCTCAATTTTAACTTAATTCATACAAATTAAGATCGTTACTTTTACCTTGTTAATTTTAGTAAATAGTGATAATTAAAATTATTATGCATAATGAATCTCATTTTATTAGATCAGTACATAATAAAGGCAAAAATAAATTTTAATTGTTCTTTTAAGTAAACATGATTAAAAACGGCACACATGTATTTAAAACAACAATCTCTAGTTGGTTTTTAAATCTTCCTTAAAACCAATTACACTTGTTTAAAGTTATATAACACATCAAGTATTTGCTTAAAAATAACAAAAAACATATCAAGTACTATTCCAACTTCAAATATCTTTTCTGTAAGATATATTTTCGTGTCGTACTATTTATTTCCTTAAAATTAAACAACAAAGATCAATAAATACAATTAATAAATAGTTTGTTGGTTTTTGTTTTTTAGTATAACAATCTGGGGGGTGATTTGAATTTATAAACTCAGAGACAGAATGTCAATTACTATCAAGCTAAGCTCATATTGATTTTTAGTTTACAGTTGTTCGGTCTCAATTAATTGATTATTAATGTGAATCATCTTTATGAGGGAAAAAATCCATGTCAATCACAATCAAGGAAAATTTGGTTGAATAGGGTATTTTCGTTTTTTAAACGCCTTTTTGAAAATCTAAGTTTTCTAGTTATTTGGTAATGTGAAATTATGTATTTACCCTTATCTCACTTTTCCTCTCTTATCTCATTTTTCATTTTTTTCTCTCTTTCATTATTATTTATTTTTCCCATTCTTCAACCTCTCTTGTCAGCTTTGATGCATCTGTTGCGAATCATGGAAGCTGTTGGTTTAAAAAAAATTAAAAAATTTAAGGTTTTTTTAGGGTAAATTGCTTTTTGTGGTGAGAAAAAAAAAGGAATAATAGTAATTAGAAAAAAGAAACTGATGGAAAGAGATATAGTAAAATATGATAGGGAAGAATTAAGAAATTGATGAAAGAGAAGGAGAAGTGGAAGAAAGGTAAATACGTAATTTCACATAATCAAATGACTAGAAAACTTATGTTTTCAAAAGGACGCTTAAAAAACAAAAAGGATCCTAGCGCCTGCTTATTCAACCAAATTTTCCCACAATCAATTCATTAATTAAATCCCCATCCTCCAAAAAAATTTATTAATTAAAATTAGCGATCACGAATGATAAACAGTAGCTTGTTGCTATATGTATAAAGGTTGGTCAATAAAATGAACCATATCACTATTTGAAATATTTAAATACCTATGATGTTTTGATAGACTTCGATTATTTAATAGTTGTTACGTATCAATAGTTTTAACAATAAAAGTTGTATATTAAAAAACCAATAGTAACTAGGTCTTTGAAATTAATTTTTATTAACAATATATATATATATATATATAGACACAAAATGCTGAAGTGTGGACAAATATGTGAATCTTTACCCTCCAAAATATAAAATATCGGTTATAAGTCTATTTTTATCTTTAAACATTTTATTTCGTTCTTGAATTTTGAAAAGCGACTGAAATGTATTATAATCATTCATATATTGTTTTACCATCCAATATCTATTTATTAAATGGTTGCTTCTGCTCTCCTTAACAAAAAAAAAAGTTGCTTCTGCATTATTATTATTATTATTATTCTTTGAATCTTCTGCATAAATTGAATATATATTGGTGTAATGCATATGTGAAGTTATATCCTTAATTTGTTAAAACCATAATAAAAGTAAGAAGTAAAATAGTCCTCCATTCAAAAAAAAAAAAAGAAATAGACATTTTGAAAGTTCACAAATAAAAAATAGAACAAACCTACAAATTCAAGGACTAACACGATAGTTCGAAAATCTAAGAACTAAAATGAAATAATATTAAAAATTGAAGACTTAAAATTAAAATATTATTTAATTATATATTTATTTGTACGTATTACAATAAAATTTTAATACTAATTACTCGATCATCATTTTTTTTATTATGCAAAGATTAAGTTGTTATAAAATAATATAAATCCATAAAAAAAAAACTAAGAACATAACCTAATTGGTTAGTTTGAATTTTCATAAAAAATACTAATAAATGAGAGATTCAGATTTATACCGTATTACGTAACACTTAACTATTTGAATTAAAATCTAAAAGTATAGTTGAACTGAGACACCTATTTTAGTCAATCATGAATTTGAATTTACGTAAGAAAAACTACTTAACCTAAAAAAAACTCGTGTGTGTATATACCAAATTAAACCAAAATAATTAAATGGACACATATAAATAAAAATAAAGAAAAAGGGAAAAGAAAAAGTGTTTACTTTTATACAAAGTTTTAATGTGGGGAAAGAAGGGCCAAAAAGGAAGAATGAAAGTCATGCATTTGTTTAATCGGTTTTTGTTTATTGCCTAGTTTGGGGAGGGGGCGGCTGGTTCGCAGTCTTCCTCAGATTTATTGATCCCGGCCACCGTTCCTCGATTACTTGCCGATCAACCTCCGGAGCCCTCCCACTGTTCCGGCCATGTCCAGGTCTCGAGTTTACGCCGACGTTAATGTTCACCGCCCCAGAGATTACTGGGATTACGAATCTCTTGCCGTGCAATGGGGGTGAGCCGCCTCAATTATTCTTCTCTTACTTCCTCTTATACAATCCTTGTTGTGTTGCTCTGTTCTGTTTTCCCTCTGTGTATTTGATCTAGGGTTCGATTTGCTAGTTGGGATCGTTTGATTTTTAGTTGCTTCCCTATTTTTCTCTATTTTCTGGAAATGTCGTACGGATCGCTGCATCACTGATGCTGTTTTGGGTCATGAGGATGGTTAGCTGCGAGTGTATTGTAAGTTAGATTGGAGAATGTAGTTGGATTTGTTTTTTTCATTTTCAAAGTTAGATTGGAGAATGTAGCTGGATTTGTTTTGTCATTTTCAAGAAAGGAACGGGGATGTTTAGGAAGCAGAAAGAATATAAAAAAAAGAAGGAAGGTTAGCGATCCACCCCGACCTTGGGTCGTGGAGATTATAAAAGCTACTCTAGCTAGTAGAAAGCAGAAGAGGAGGAATGTTAAAAAAAAAAAATTGTATTTTCTGGAAGCAATTCTCCAATTTGATCTGCTATGACCTTATATCATGGACTATGGAGTGGACTTTAGCTGAAGGAGGGACCTTTGTATGTATATATGTATTCTACAGTTCAGGTATTGGAGCTTCCATCCTCTTGGCCATTGTGTAATGTGACATTTTCAATGTCTTGCTTTTTGGAATTTTTGGTGTGTTCATGAAATGTGGAAGACGTGAAGTCACGTGACGATGTGATGTCAATCTACGGAAATCTGGCATGATGGCTGCCATCTGTAACTTTTTATGAAATAGCTGAAGTCCAACTGCTTCATGTAATTTCTGCTAACTCACGGATAGGGAAGAGAGAGATCTAGTTCTAGTTCATAGCAGGTTTTCTTTATAATGATGAATGATGATTATACATACTGATAATGAATATGGAAGAGATGATCTTAAATTGCTCGATCATTTTCCTTTTATAACTTATCTTTTGATATATTGCTTCATCTGTTTTCTTTATGAGGCATTGCTGCTAAAAATTTTTCATTCATATTCTCCTTTTTAATTTAATTCTTTAAAACAGTGGTCAAGATGATTATGAGGTTGTCCGGAAAGTTGGAAGAGGAAAGTATAGTGAGGTATTTGAAGGTATAAATATCACCAACAATGAAAAATGCATCATCAAGATTCTTAAACCTGTCAAGAAGAAGAAGGTGAGCACGATCATTTGTCTCTACTTTATAATGTCTCTAGACATGCCCCAAAGGGGCAGCCCGATTGACACAGGGCTTGGGGTCTCTCGGTCATATTGGTTTAGAAGTCTCAAGTTTGAACCTTCCGATGAGCTTAATAACTAACCCTTGATGTCTAAGTTGGCGCGGTTGCCTCTAGGTATGAGGGAGCAAAGCTCCGACTCCCAGTTATTAAAAAAAATGTATATAATGTCTCTGGACACACTTTATGTATGCTTGATGCATAAAATGTTATTTTTGTATCATATTTGTTCAATTCTTCATAATTTATCATCTTCCTGCTAGTTTGCTTTTAAACCAGTACGTGTTGGAGGTGTTAAACATCCTGAAGAAGTTAAATTGAGGAACCACATAGTATTATTCAAATTCATCTGCATGAGAATGATACCAAAAGAATTTGTATGCTTAGGTGTCTCAGGCTCTCTTTCTTGTTGAGGGTTGTCTGTGGTGTAGCTTCTCCACTTATAAATTTACACATCTATGTTATATTTGTTCATGAATATGCATCAGTCTATGCATAGATAACAATTAAATTCTGCGTTGTTCGTATGTGGCATACATGAATGACATGAACTCATATTTCAAATAACTAATTCTTACATCAGTACCGCTGTAAACCAGTTTTCCTTTAATTTTATGTCACTTTCTCTAATCCGGTTATTTTGTGTTAATACAGATAAAGAGGGAGATTAAAATATTGCAGAATCTTTGCGGGGGTCCAAATATTGTGAAATTGCTGGACATTGTCAGAGATCAGCACTCAAAAACTCCTAGCTTAATCTTTGAATATGTGAACAGTACAGATTTCAAAATTTTGTACCCTACACTGACTGATTATGACATACGCTACTATATATATGAGCTTTTGAAGGTCTTTTCTAATGTCTCATCACTTCTTGATATGCTTGTCAAAATCTACTTTCTTTTTTCTTTCATCCAAAGAATATATGAGCTTGATGTTAATCGAGAAATAAAAAAGCCGCTTCCTTTCTATAAAAGTGTATAATGATAAATGATATTCACTTAGCCAATCCTTCACGAACTTATTATGCTTACGAACTTATCATATAATGATTATGATGCATTGTAGTTTAGATTTCGATTCCTAACCATGATACTGCCTGGACCGTTGAGTATAATACTTGTTCATGTTCATGTTCTTTTCTCTCACTCTCTCTATTTCTTGCTTTTATTTTTCACTAAATTTTCAAGTATAATTTTGCTGGTGACACGACCACATCTGCAAATGAACTTGTTTAATGATAATAAAAAGTGAACAAATAAAGTGTGTTGACCTGAAAAGTGCTCATAATGGGTTTGTTACTTCGACAGATAAACCTCAGTTTTGCATTTTGTTGTAAATTTTTCATTTGTGTTTAAAATAATTCATGTCTTGGCTGTGAAGGTTGTAAGTTTGTGTGGCGTTTAAATGCCCTTATATTGCTTCTGATTTGGGGCATTCTGTAAGTGCAGGCGTTGGATTACTGCCATTCACAGGGCATAATGCATAGAGATGTAAAGCCTCACAATGTTATGATTGACCATGAGCTACGGAAACTTCGTCTGATTGATTGGGGTCTTGCCGAATTTTACCATCCTGGAAAAGAGTACAATGTCCGAGTGGCATCTAGGTAAGTGTATTCTTCGTTTTATTTATTCAACTGTTTATTTGGTGCATCTATAGTTTCTGCCTACAATGTCCCGCAAAGCAAAAGATCATCCACCAAATAAAGCTGATTATATAATTATTAATCTCTAGTTATAGAGTTGCACAGTATAGTGGTCGCATGGCTGGTAGCTACTGTATAACCCTTGTTTTCTGGCACTATGACTTTAGATGTTGTAGGTGTTATGGTTCTGTTTTTGATAGAACCTAAATAAAAAGATAAGGGATACTTGGGACTTCCTCTGTTGACTATTCTCACCCAACCCTAAACTCACTAATTGCTTACCTTCATTTTCTCTCATTCTCTCTAATTATAACCAATTTTTTGGCTAATGGCTCATATACCCTTCTTAATATCCTAAAGTCCTAATAATATTTCTAACATTCTGATAGCTTTCCTATCAATATGAGAACCAGCTTGAGATTTTAAAGTAGGAAGAATCCTGTACCAGTAAATACATCTGAAAGTTAACTTGATGGATTTAGCTGATGATATTTTCAGGTATTTCAAAGGGCCAGAACTTCTTGTAGATTTACAAGACTATGACTATTCTTTGGATATGTGGAGCCTGGGTTGTATGTTTGCCGGAATGGTGAGGGATTGGGACTACAGGGCCTTACTAAAGTTTCCTCCTTTTTTCATGGTCATGCAAATGGTGTGACCAAATAGCTTATACCACAATGAGCTTGCTCAAGGCTTTTTTCTTTTTCCTGCAGATTTTCCGCAAAGAACCATTCTTTTATGGTCATGACAATCATGACCAGCTTGTCAAAATTGCTAAGGTACTTGTCCGTCCCTTTCTCAACGTTGGGTGGATACTTTAACTGTCTTCGGCGACTCTGCCGCAGTGATTTTATTTATAATGAAAAATGAATCTTACTCAGGTTTTGGGGACAGATGAATTGAATGCGTATCTGAACAAATATCAACTTGTTCTTGATCCACAACTTGAAGCACTTGTTGGGAGGTCTCTCTCTCTCTCTCTCTCTCTCTCTCTCTCTCATGGACTGGTTCCCAGCTTCAAAGCAACTCTACATATAACTTGCTCTCAAAACCAAATGGTTATGACGAATAGCAAAGTTTAATGTGATAATTAAATTAATGCAGCATGAGTAATTGTTTTACTTGTGTTATTGAATGCGATTTATCAATTATTGGAAATGATCGGCTAATTGCTGTTTCTTTAATTATAAAAATTAGTATGGAAACCTACTATAATTGCTGCCATTTTTAAACTGGCTCTTCAATTATATGTCACTGTTCGACATCTTCTTATGACTTCATAAATCTAAAATAGCATAATATGGGGAAAAAATCCCTAGCTCTTCATAGGTGCAGAAATTGAGTAAATGTAAAAATGCATGTCCTCATCCCCGATTTTGTTCATTCACCTTTCATCATTGGTTGTATCATGTATGAAACTTGCCTTCCCATGATTCATATTGCAGGCATAGTCGTAAACCATGGTCAAGGTTTATCAATGCTGATAATCAACATCTTGTATCCCCTGAGGTCAGATGTGTTTTTGAGTCAATGGACTACTGCTCTAAGTTTCATATTTATATTTACATTTTTGTGACATTTCATTTGTGGTTGTCTTCACTCGACATAGGCCATTGATTTTCTGGATAAGCTTCTTCGATACGACCATCAAGATAGGCTCACTGCAAGAGAAGCAATGGTATCTATCAACTTCTCTTCTATTTAAGTTTAACCGTGTTCTCATTTATCATCTTTTCCCATTATAGTTTTCTTCATCATTCTCTTTGCTGTTTGGTTATCGGTGCATCTTTGTCCTTCTGGTTAACTTTCTGATATTAAGGAAATAAAGATGTTAAAGGAAATTGTTCAAGAATAGGAAAGATGAGTTTCTTGGATTTATGAAATTTGGTTGGGATTATGAAGCCAGAAGTCTGTAGTAAGCAACCTCATGCGTGAAACATATACTTAGTTCTAATCACCAAACTTAACTCATGAGTCAATTGCTCTGAAATTGAAATTCTCTTTCTATGATGGCATTCTATGCATGCCAAGTTTTTGTTCAGTTGCGACATAGATTTCCTAATTTCTGAACATTCTTTGCAGGCTCACCCGTACTTCTTCCAGGTGAGAACTGCTGAGAACAGCAGGCTGCGAACTCAATAACCCCCCTTTGTAAAAGTAAAAAATTTAACAGCAGTTGCTCATTGTGGCGTTAGTTTTTGTAAGCCTAGGTTCTCTTTTCCCACCCACCTAGGTGGTTAGCTCATACAGTTGTTTGCCACTTCATTGTTCTGTAATATTGTCATTCGCCTACTACTCCACTGTATATTTTCCCTCGTTTTTATGAGATTTTAGTTTTACTATGGAAATTACAACTTTGGTTGCTACCCTCGCTGTTCTCTTCTCTCCTACTCTCTATTTTTCTCTGCTTCAAATGAGGAATCATTCTTATTTTTATCTAGGGAGAAACTGTTGTTCATACCTTTGCCAAGTAATAGTAGTTCATATAGGTCCTAGTAATCTTTGGTTTAGTTTTTGTTCATCTTTTATGGGGTCCTTTTTTTTCCCTTACGAAATTTTACAACATTATACACATTCACTTGGATGACATACAAAAGTGCTCAACTGTGTAATAATGCTACTTATAACATGGCTCTTCTACTTAAGTTACAGACCATGCTATTCAATGATATTGAAAAAATGTTTCACCAGGAGCCATAGTTTTCTCTTTGCGACTTCATCATTTAAATGAAAATGCAAACAAAATTGCTTGATAAGTTGCTAGGCTTAATGCCTGGAGGATGGATTTTAATCTCATGATGAATATAATAGTTAAATAAGGCTTTAAAGTGTGTGCCTTCGGAAATTAGGAAAGAAAATGCTTTGAAGTCTGTGCCTGCGGAAAGGGAAAAGAGGAGAAAACTTTCTTTTTTGGACAAAAGTGAGAAGACGACTTTGAAGTTTGCTATATTTGGTATATAATTTCGTTAATTTTACAACATAAATTTATTAATTGTACAAGTTAAAATAGTAAATTATGTTGTGTAATAATACTTGTCTCTCAATCTACCAATTGAATTTTACAATTCTCAAATTAGCAAATTAAAGTAAAGTTACATAAATTCTAACGTCTAAAACTCATTTATTTTCTCAATTCAACTACAGGCTACAAATTTAGACAAAGTGACAAACTCAAATATCCCTTAAATCTTAATGTATTTCCCCCCCTTTTTGGCCTAGGAAACAGTCTTCGGACAACATAAATAAAAATTGATTTCTTTAACCTAAGAATTTGTCTCTTGCAAGGAAAAAATGTCCATAAAGTGGAAAGTCTCATTATCAATCAGCCCATTGTTAAATTTATCTTTAATAAAGTTGTACTTTTTCTAAAAAAAATTAATTAGACCCACATGACTCTACAAAGATAAAAACTATCAAACATCAAATAGTTCTAAGAACCATTATTAATAATAATAATAATAATAATAATAATAATAATAATAATTTTTTGTGACAGTACAATAAACTTTAAGCCATATTCTTTTCTATTATATTGATTTTTAAATAAGGATACAGAGATTCGAACCCATAATTTTTAAATGATATCTTTAATACTTGAACAATTGGGTTATACTTAAGTGGACGCTTTTTAGTCCATTGAACTATTGCTAAATAAACAAAATATCTCGTTTAATGTACTAGTCGTATTTTTAGTGTCACTGTTTGAAGGTGGTTGGTATATTGATTAATTAACAACTCGATAGGTTCTATTCTTATATACCAATTATAGAGAAGCAAATCACTCAATAATTGAGGAGGTTGGGCTCTAAGTTAAGGGCATTAAGCTTAGAATTGGTTGTAATTAGTCAATTCAAAAGGGAAATTAATGGCATTAAGCCAAGGAAAACTATGAGCCGATCCATTTTATACAACTGTTATTGAATTATTTCATTTGGGACTGTGACATTTGAGCAACCTTTTAAGCCCTTTAAACTTTGTTGTCACTTTCATTATGACACAAAACAAGACCATGAGTCTCATCCTTGGTCAATAATTAAAATCATGCAACATTTTTTTCTTTACATGTTATTAAATTATTGGGGAATACTTTATCTCTTTGTTTTTTTTTTCCGAAAGTAAAGAGGACAAATTATTTCAAATACATAGTTATGACGAGATTTGATGTGGCAACTATTCATGTATAGAGGGATAATTACAAACCCTACTTGTGAAATTTGTTTATTTTGCAATTCATATTCTTGATGTTTTAAAAATTGTTGTAGAATTTAAAAACTATATCCGGGTATAGCTTAATTGTTAACACATAATCTCGATTAAAAGATTGGAGGTTTGAATCTCCACCCACATGCTACCGAACTAAAAAAATCTAAAAATCATATCCTTATCTTAGATTTGTTTATTATTTTGTCAATTTCAAGTGTGATTGTGACTTTCTTTACTATTTTAGAGTATCTCTCACGTAGTATGAAATTCTTAACCTAGGCGGTAATTTGGCTTTAATCAATAATAATACATCACTAATAATTAGATAAACATCTCTTCGGGTCAAAAATCACACAAGGAATCAAGTAATCAAATTATTACCTTTTTTTAGGACAACAAATTAAGGATATGAGAATTTGAACCTCCCACCCGTCTGATACATTTCACCATATACATCGTTGTTGAATATAAAATATAATTCATTTTTATTAACAAATGAGCTTTTTTTTTAGCCCCAGAGTTCCTTGGGAGATTGGGGTTTCTAGCCCCATTATATAGCTCATCTGGATTTTTGACCCATTTTAAAAAAAAAACTAATTTGTGACCCTTACTGTTCTAATTTGTGATCCTTTCTACTTTTTGTCTTTGTAAAATTACCAAAATATCCTTGTTTATTTTAAGTAAATTTATCCACCAATCTCTTCTCCCAACTCTTAGCATTTTTTTTTAATTTTGAATCTAATATAGATTAATTTATTACTTAACAAACGAATCCACACAAAAAAATCTGAAGATTAAATTCTCCAATAAGTAAATTACGGTGAAAAAAGATTTGCATGATCCAAGAATAAATGCATAAGATTTGTTCGGAATTAATTACAAAAAAAATTAAGGTTTCATAAATGTCGTATCAAAATTGCATTAAATGCCTGAGATTTAATTGACAATAAGGGCTAAAAGAAACTGCAATTAAGAGGGAGATAACGCAAAAAAAAAAAAAATCTGGAATTTGGGATCCCGGACCGGGATAGGATTTTGCATTTTCACTCTTTTTCTCTCCTCTTCTCTTGGCCCTGGTATCAATTAAATCTTGAGCATTTAATCCAATATTGTCCCAAATTTTTTGTAATCTTGACTTTTTTGTAATTAAATTTGCCCAAATTATGCAATTATGTACGTTTTTTTTTATTTTTTTCATATTAAACTTTTAATTTACCGTTTGAGTTAGATATTTTTTTAAAAAGTTAGATTTTTTAAGGTCGGAATTAATTATTGTGAGAAATTTGTGGGGGAATAAAGATTTTTAAAGAGATTTGTGGAGGGAGATGATTTTGAAACGTGAGGGCACTACGGTAATTTTACATTTAAAAATTATGAAATTATTAATAAATAAGGAGGAGTGAGGTCATAGATTAGGTTTTTTCAAAATGGGGTCATAAATACAAAGTGAATCATGGGAGGGGTAAAATTTCAAATTTCCCGAGTTCATTTTACACTACTTTATTGATTAAATAATGTAATATATTAATTAAAATAAAAATATAATAATTATGAAAAATTTATAGAAACTGTTGGACCACACTCACAGTCTTTTATGAGGAATCTAAAAGTCTGAAACGGAACTTTGTTCATTTGTCTCGTCCTTCCAATTAATTGGAAGACAGAAATTTATGAGATGGAGACAAATTTTCTTGTCTCTCTTTTTTATTTTATTTTATTATTATTTACATTTTTCAGGACTATTCTTTTATCTATTTCAATTTTAATCCTATTGAATCCTAGAATTATGATTACTATTAATTGTTAGTATTCCAATTATTGTACAGATTCTTTTCATTTATGTAAAATGTTTTATTTTCAAAAGTAGTTACGATCTCTATCAAATTTAAAACACAATAAAATCACTTGGAAACAAATATTAAAAATTTAAGACAATATATTCAGATTAATAGGTTAACTAAAATTATAGATTCAAATTTTCATCCCTTCTACTTGAATTGTTTTTTTTTCTGAAGCCCCCTTCTATTTGAATTGTAAAACTTAAAAAAAGGTTATGATTATCAATAATTTAATAAAATAAGAAAGATAAAAATGTAAGAGAGAGAGAGAGCTGATGAGTGATGGTTGAGTGCCTAGAGAAATTAGGGTTGGGTGAATATACAATTTCTCAAAGAGACTAAAATGAATATAAATAACAGGAGAGGATATTGTAATGTAAATTATATATATATATAAACTAAAAAAAAAGGAGAAATAGATGTTCTGAAGGAAATGAAACCAAACAAAAAGTAAACCAACAATAATAAATTAAATTTTAGCTTCCAAATGTTTTGTTAATTAACTCTTAGTTTTAAAAAGGAGGTTATTGATATTTAATTTGCAAAAGTTACTTTTTCATTTGCTTTCAATTTCAGAAATTAATAATTATTTTAGGTCTTGATGAACCCATGATGACCGCAATTATGGCTTTCTTTCCTCGATATTTGAATTTTATATTTATTTTATTTTCATCTCTTAATATTTTAATTTTTAAATTTTGTTTATAAAATTTTTTAATTATTTTCATAACTCACAAATTTTCTTTCTTTATTTTTTATTGTTTTTTTGAAACAGATACATTTTCTTTATATTATTTACTAAAAGATATTTACATAACATATTTTAACGTTTTAATTTTTAAATTTCGTTCAAAAGGCATTTTAGTATTGTCATAATTCTTTTTAATATTATTTAGTAAAGAACCATCATAACACATCTTTCATTTTTCCTGATGAGTAGATATGTTTGTGTGAATAAGTGTTGAAACTATGTCACAAGCGAATTAAAAAAAAAAATTTAATATTGCAATGAGAGAATGATAGTAAGGATTAAATAAATTAAAGTTTGGGAGATCAAAATAAAATAATATAAAAATTTAAAGACTAAATTATAATTTAATCCAAAAAATCATGTGAGTTTTTAATTACGGCGTTTTTTAAAAAAAATGTATAGTTTGGATTAATTTTACATTTTTTATATTTATAAATTAAAAATATATATAGTTATAAATATAATATATGAATTTTGTAATTCTCTCTATATCAAAAGAATGGTCACATGTTCCTTTATTTTTCGAAATAGATAATGACCCAAGAGACCTACGCATGTATACGGGTTTTGTTTT